TTTATAATTGCAATAGCCAATATTATGTCTGATTTAATGCTTATTTTGCAAATTGCTGAGTCCACCCTTAACTTTGTGTGGAGGGTGGAATGAAAGCAAGTTCTCAGGCCTCTCACATGCTCCTTTTCCTCTCGTTCTACCTTGATAGATGGATTGTGTCCAGTCTGATAAGTGAGGTGCCAGATGGAAGTGACTGCCCCACCTTCACGTTGAACTTGGTTGGCAGTTCATTTCGGGCCAGACAGCAGACAATGGGAGGGTGCCCTCTGACCCGGCCTTCACTCCAGCTGCCCTGGCTCCCTCTTTATCTCAGGGCACAAGCGTTATGCAACAATCTTATTTATCAGAAGTGAAAGAGCTCAGCCAACAGGAGGGAGAGGAAGCCCTCTTCCATTTTATCTCATTTATAGTAAGTCTGCATTGTAACAAAGTCACGCACGGGGTGTTCTCAAAGTCACATCATTCCTGGAACGTCCTCTCTAGGGTATTCTTGTTGATCAAATATGTAGGTGAGAAAATAATTTTTGTGCACATAGATTTATTTCATTCATTTCTGTGATTCTTAAGATCTTCTGAATCTATAACTCATTTTAAAATTTGATGAAACTTAGAGACCCTTCTCCCAGAAAAATGTGCATAGATATATCCTGTGAAAATTTGTATATGGCTTCCTAAAATCCCATTTATGTCTCTAATAACAAGCTCTTGATAGACCAAAAGGCTACATTTACAAAAAATTTAAAATATCATGTGTTGTTAATATCTTGTTCAGTTTATAGATTATGTAATATGATTTATTTTTCTTTAAATTGAAAATCTGAAGGATTATGCCAGTTCCTCACCTACAACTTTATGCACAGTGAAGATTTCCTAATCCAGGTCATGTCCTGTGCAAGGAATCTACAATTTCTACTAAAAAAGAGAAGATACACTTCATTGAGATAGGCCCAAGCCACTGATCTGATGGCAGGGGGCCATGGATACAGTCCATTTTGTCACTAAAAATTGCAGGTTTTAATCTCAGAAGTACATGGCTTGTGCCATCTCGAATGTCCTCTTGTCATCTCAGCTACTTAAACACTACTCACACTTGAAGATGCAGTTTATGTTGTTCTTCGTCATTTCCCCTACCTGAACCATCGGCAGAATCAATTTCTCTTGTTCTGTCGTCCCGTTACATCTGTTTGTGGCTATATACTGCAGACCATTGCATCTGTTTGTAGCTATATACTGTAGAGTGCTTACCAAAGTCTATAGTCTCATACCCCTCACCAGCAGGAGGACCTCAAGGAGAGAAAGAGCTTTGCTTCTTGTACACAGGGGGACCAGTGTGAGTTATGGAGCAGCATGTACGGTGCTTAGGCACTTTGGTTCTGGAGAGAAAAGCTCCCAGTTCTGCTGTTAATTTTCAGGAAAAACACTTAAATTTTCCATGTATCAATTTCTCTCTCCTTGAAAACAAAGTATGGTAATAATATCCACCTCATTGGGCTATTGTGAAGATTAAGTAAGATAATGTTTAAAAAGCATTTAGCATAGTGCTTGAATTACAATAAATGTTGAATGAAGGTTAACTGTATAATTTGTCAAGTAGAATTTTAAAAATTTATTTGATTAGCATATAATATTGTACATATTATACAATGTGTTTTGATTTCTGTATACAATGTTTAATGATGAAATTAGTGCATATCCATCAACTTAAATTTTTCTCATCTCTTTTTTCTCTTTTTCTTTTCCCTTCCTTCCCTACCCCTTTCTGTTCTGTTCTTTTCTTTTTTTCAAGACAGAATCTGACTATGTTGCTCTGGCTGATCTTGAACTCATGAGCCCAAGTGATCCTTCGGCCTCAGGCTCTTGAGTAGCTGAGACTACAAGTTTATGCCACCACACTCAGCTGATGCTTTTTTTGTGTGTGTGTGGTGCTGGAGCTCAAATCCGGCTCTGGTACATGTAAGGTAAATACTCTCTCATTGAGCTACACCCCAACCCCTTATCATTTCTTTATGGTGAGTATATTGAAAATTCTACCTTGTAACTGTTTTGAGATATACAATGCATAATTGACAACTATATTTATTCTACTATGTAAAAGAACACCAGAACTCACTCCTCCTATCTCACTGTAACAATGTACCCACTGACCATCTCCTTCCTTCCCATCCCCCTTACTCTTCCCAATCTCTGTAACCACTATTTACCCCCAACTTCTCTGGGATTGACTTTTTTTAGATTCCATGTATGGATGAGATCATATGCTATTTGTCTTTCTGAACAGAATTTTTATGAGGAATTACCCTTATCTTTTTAGAACTCCTTAATATAGGTAATAAATAATTATAACCAATAATAAAAGGCATCATAAATATTTGGTTAAAATTAAAATTTCATATTATTTTCAGGTCCCTTAAAATAATTTTTACTTCAATCTGTAAAATTACCATTTGGTTGATTAAATTTCAGTGTTTATTATAGCCAGCTTTAGGATACTGGAAGTATCTTTATAATATTATGTGACATTGGTTTACCTCTAACAATGTCCCTAAAACATGGATCTCTAGCTTCCAAGGGATCCTAAGGTCAGTTGAGCAGGTGGCTGACAAAGATAGCATCTTGAAAGTTGTTTTTGAGCCTGCCACTCCAATTCCTCCCTTGTCATTATCCTTCTCTTTCCTATCAGGGAAATACAGATGGATGAGATTCCTTCTGTAACAAATAATAGCTCACTCTGTTTTAGAAGCTATCATCGTTGGATATAAAGAACAAGGCAGGTATTTACTCTTTAAAGATAAAAAAATGTATCTATATATGTACCTTTAGGTAACTCCTCAAACCCCTTTCAAACTAGAATTAAGTTTGCTTGCGTTTTGCTCATTTTTGGCATCTGAGTTTGAACAAATGTTTAAGGACAGAGATTATGTTTCATTCGTCTTTGTACTCCTAGATCCTAGTACATCAGCTGATATCTGCAATAAATAGCTGCTGGTTAAAAATATACGGGATTATATGTTGCATCAAAAACCATAGAATTTGGCTTATTAGAATGCTTATTTTTAATAACACTTTATTAAAAATTAAGTTATTTTATTATAAAATAAAAATTATTGAAAATTATCTGAACTTCAAAAATTTAAGTAAGGGATTCTTCTATTTTGAGAAAACCTTTAGTATCTGAATAGATAGATTAGAATATCTTTATATTGATGCTCCACTTTTGTTAATTATCAGTGAGAACTTAATGCTTTACTATTTGTAAAAGTCTACATTATTTGTTTTCTTATTTTTATGTCTTTAACACTGGCATATTTTTCTGACTTCCTGTCTACATGAGAATTCATTTTGTGTCTTTATATATGCTTCATGTGAAAGCAGTTTTATGACTCTTTTTTATGTACAGATTAATCAATATCAAACTTCAATACAATTTATTTGATGAGAAATTAGAATTATGTCAGCAACATAATGGATCAAGCAGCCACAGTTATCGATAGATTTCCTTTGTAAAATAAAAGACATTTGAGAAAGTCAGTGTCAATAGGAACAGAAAGTCTACTTGAGGACTCTTGGGACATTTGTTCATTTTCCCCCAGTCCAAAGTCTATGTTTTTCTCAAGCAATAATTTTAGCCTTTGAGATGGTTTGGAAAAACTAGTTTTTGTTTTGTATTTCTCTTTGTTTAATTTTTAGCTCATCATAAAATGTCCCTCTACTTGGCATGTCTGGACCAGCTCCAGGGCTGGCTGACATCCTGAGGGGCCTACTACCAAAGAGCATGTCAGGTAGATATCTAAACAACCTTGGAATGCCAGTTTCTACTGGTGCCAAAAGTCAATCAAAAGGAGCTAGACCTTTCTCCATGTTTCAATTGTACTTTATCAGAAATAAATGCATTCTCAAGCTGAAAATTCTTGTTTAGTGCAACTGTTTTATGAAGATCTATCAGGAATTCTTTTAGCACTCAATATTTCCCAAAAGGTCTACTAAAATTGAGGTAGATGATGATTCTTTCACATGAAATGATTTTATTAATGACAACCGAACAAATCCAAAGAACCACACTGAAAATTATGAGAGTAGTCAGATGCCTATAATTCCAGCATTTGAGAGTCTAAAGCAGGAAGATTTTTGATTGTTTTCTGGCAGTACTGGGGTTTGAACTCAGGGCCTAATGCTTATCGGGCAGACACTCTACCACTTGAGCTACTCTGCCAGCCCTCTTTTATGTTGGGTGTTTTAAAGATACAGTCTCTTGAACTATTAGTCCAGGTTGGCTTCGAATCAAAATCCTCCTGATCAACTAGGATAGCAGGCTTGAACCACCAGTACCTGGCTTGTAGGAAGATCTTAAATTTGAGGCCAGCTTGAGCTACATAGTGGGTTCAAGGCAGTCTGGTATACATAGTGAGGCCATGTCTCAAAAAACAAAATAAAGCAATAACAAAAACCAATGACAAAATGAAAATTCTGAGGGTAATTTATTTATGATATGGGGCTTACTATCTGAAACAATATTATAAATAAGAGTTCTTCAGGTCAACCAATTCACCTTGCAGAATTATTTTATAACAGCTCAACAAAGTATGGCTTTGATAATATACCTCTGACTCAAAGGCCAGTACAGTTCAGAAATGACCCTAGAGAATCAAGTCTGAATTAGGGTTACATGTAGGAAATACCTGGTTTCAAATGGTCATGTGGAGACACATGATAGTCTCCATAGAGATAGATACTCGAGACCATGAAAGGAGATGCTGGTTCACTTGGGACAATTTTAACTATGCTTTGGAACAAATTTAATTCTTTGGATAACCTTGTACATTAATTTAATCTCTCTTGGGGCATAGGATAATCTAAGGGTTCAGACCTGTGCTCTGCATATGATCTGCATCATTGACGTTGACCCTAAATGAAGGTTCTCTTCAAGGGTAAGACTCAGGTTCAAGCCCTGGGCCTAAGGCAATGGACTCTACAGGATCTGGCTTCATTTTGGGCTCCCTTACCTGATACAAGCTGGCAAGATGATGGTTAGTTTTGATCAAAAATGGCTGGTTCACGCCTGGGTGGTCAACGTCGTGAGCTGCTGCAGCCAGTAGTCCAAGCATGATGTCTAGAGGTGTGAGGAAGCTTGCCAGCTGTTAAAATATCAAATGTGGAGACCTGTTAGTATGCTGCCACAAAGAGGGTAGCATCTGTTCTCACTAAATCAAATGAGTGAAGTATTGTTCAGCATGTCAGCCAAACCTTTGCCCTCTGAGGTATTCAATGAGTGATAGGGACACAGAACTGCAAGAACAAAAGAAAACTGTGTGGAAAGTAACTGAGGAAACTTAAATTGTGTAGCTCATTTGGTTAGTCTCATCTCCCTATTACTACTTATTTTGCTTTGTTGGAATGGCATCGCTTGCTAGCCACACTGATGGCTGAGAGGTAGGGAGGAGGCAGGGACTGACATTAGCCTTGCTCCTCAAGAAGGCTGTAAATGAGGAAAAAAGTTGAAGCTGAGGTAATGGACACAGTTGAGAAATCATTTATAGATTTCAACTAATATATCTTTACCACTTCTTTGAAGGAGGTAGGCTGAATTGAAAAAATGTGTAATAAATAGTGGGGGAAGGTGTGAGACTCATTAATATTTTGGTTAGCCAGGAAAACAAGCAGGAGAATGGGAATCCAGTACTAATTTATAAAACACAACTCTGTGATATAGCAGAACTTTTGGGCTAAGTATGATTAGTAAGTAATGCCATTAGTGTCTTTGGAGTATTTTACAGGTGCGAGGCATCTATACAGTTTTGTCCTGAGAATGCCTGTTTGGTATCTGTGCATTTAGTGGTTGATAAAATTGTTTAGTGAGTTGATAAAATTGATTGAACTAAGCAGTCATTTTCCAAAAACCATAAACTCATAACAAAAACTTATTTTTTTTACAGTTAAGAATGGCCTAGATTGTGAGTAATATGGTTATCATTGTTTTTATTTTATGACTTTGAGTTGGTTTATTGTGTCAGAGCATGCATGCTAAGATATCACTGATATTCACAAGCTTCTGTGGGCTCTGGATCAGGAAATCTAGTTGGCTCAGTAGAAATGGAGCTTGAATCTTGAGGAATTCTGATTCTATTTGTTGATTAAAACCAGAGGTGGAAGTTATGTCCCA